GTATTCTTCGCCGCCTTCCCCCGTAAGTCACTTTATACTACGGCATGCCAACTGTACGCTAACAACCCCGAAAAAAACAGGCAGTTAAATTCCTCAACCAGTTTATCCCTCATTCACAATATGTATCGGGTGTTCGTTGAGTACTACTACTAGTTTGGCCGTGGGCATTAGTGTGACAATCTGACGGTGTTCTTGAGATAATTAATATAAAATTTTAATGTAATAAATACTATGCTTTAATTTCACTCAACTATATAAAAAGAATGATAAAATTTGGAATAATTAATAAAACATAACCTAATAAGGTTATAAATTTTTACATCCTGTAAAACTGCTCTGTCACGTAGCGCTTTTACAAGAAATGAGGATGTTTTGCTTCCTTTCTCCACGCCTCGTATCTTAGAATTTTGCACTCCATCTAGTCGAATGACACATCATTTCGGATAATCATGATGGTGCAGAAAAGAGGGATAAAGAGGCAGGTTCTCAGATGCTCGAGGCAGATCATTCCAAATAGCCTTGAGGACACGAGCCATAGGACCGGCCGTTCAGCTATGATCTAGCCACATAGACTCCTTCAAGATAACCACCAAGTAAAGTCAGTCAACATGAATAACGAGGTAATATGATTATTGTAAAACTCTCTCTCTCAGTAGAAAGGATAGATCCTAGTCTCGCGATAGGATATAAGTCCTGTATTTTTCATGTTTTACATCTGTATTTATATTATTTGCTAGTATTATTGTTACTTCTAATCAAACTATCTACTATAAGAGGAATGTCCCTAGTTCTAGGTTAGACTTATGTTTTATGTTTTATTATTATATTATTTGTCCTTGTTATTTTGGTCTTCTGTAATTAAATTGTTAATTTTATATTATATAACTTTCGTAGTTGAGTATTTATTACTTATGCACAACCCACACAGAATCTTACCACTCGGGTTCTGTTAAAAATTAAGCCATCCAGTGACAAAGTGAGCAGGTCTAACTGATCTGACGATTAGAGGGCCTGGACCCTCGTCCGTATTCTCACATTACGTTCTTCTATATATCAAGTTATTTCTAGTTAATTAATTAAAGTTCAAAATAACCAAGACACCGTGTATTAACGCATAAAACGCAGTTTTTCGTCTAGTGTGCCAATCTGTAACCTGTGCCACTACGGGTTCAGTCGTGTAACCGAAGATAATCGATAGAGTCGCCCAAGCTGCCTTACGGAGTTGTAATTGCCACTGCCCTGGGGCCACATTCGATCGACCATAAAAGAAACTAGTACTTTTGAAACCGTGCTTGTAGTTATTAGTAGTAATTCAAACACAAATAATTATCGTATTTATCTTCAGGCACTTGGCAATACTCATCATCAAGTTTTATTCAGTCAAATTCAAACACAAATAATTATCGTATTTATCTTCAGGCACTTGGCAATACTCATCAAGTTTTATTCAGTTGACTGAATAAAACTTGATGATGAGTATTGCCAAGTGCTTGAAGATAAATACGATAATTATTTGTGTTTGAATTACTACTAATAAAAGAAACTACATCGACGCCCAGGTTTTCGAAACTGCCGATCGTTCTAGAAAAAAAAAATGTTTTGTATATTGGATGTCACCTTTATGTTAAAATAAACGGTTTTATGTTAGACACGGTTTATGTTATGTTATGTTATGTTATGACTGACAGTCTCTTTCACTACGCCCTACTTACAAATAAACCATAGACCATCACTGACACAAAATTAATTGATTTCCTCTAAAAATTGGCAAAACACTGGTGTGCAAGAGGTGGGATTTCAAGTCCCCAATCTCCATCAGGTCTGCTACCTTAGATTTCTATTACAGTCGATCCCATATAACGCGGTAGATACGTTCCACTTCGGTAGATACATTCCACTTTATACGAATTTCGCGTTGTAGAAATCCTTAAATACATGAGCCAATTACAGTTCCACACGTGTGCAGTTTACGGACTACGGCTGTTTAAAAAGTTTTCTTCAGTGAAATTAATCGATTCTAAACTAATTTGACTCAACATTTCCAAAACATGTATAATTTTTTGGGAATAATCCGTATAAACTATGCTATAAACAAAAAATTGTAGGATTACTTACCGAGTGTGCACCGTTCGACAACGCCATTGCTTAAGTTTGTTTTCGTCGCGAAGCGGCGCACCAATCGTCAGGCGCGTTTTCTGATAAGTTATTTTTCTGCGAAAAATTCGTTGAACTTTGGAGACATCATTAATAGATATTATTTTTGTGACCGTTGAATAAGAAATGTTTTTTCACAAGAAATGTATTAAATTACAATACTGTATTAGACTTACAGTACCTAATTTATATACTGTACAGACAATAGTAAACTCAACTTACCCGCCTTAACTCTCTGTAGCGTGTAAGCAGTTCGGCTGCTCGTCCACCATTGGTCCACATTCGACCAATTTTGTCGCGACACGAGTCGGCGATGACGTTTTACCGCATTTTACGAGTCTCTGTTAGCGTCTTTATAAGAATACGGTCGCAATTTTTTCGCCGCGATATACGAACCCGCGTTATAGGGGGTCTACTGTATTTTGTTTATAACTGTAGACAATATTAAACATGGGTATGAGGTCAAAGTATACAACAGGACAAAATCAGCAACTGAGGAATGAAGAGTACGGATTAAAAGTATGAAAATCTTTCATTCAGATTGCAGGCATCATCTTACAACATGAAAAAAGTCGAAAAGGATGAAACATACACCTAGAAAAAAAATTCAAAGTAATGGACTTCAAATAATGTTTGCAATTTTGTTTGTATTGATATTAGTGTAGGGAATATTTCGATATATTTTAATAACTCACTTATATACCTCAGAAAATATTTTTGATTTGACAGCAATTTATCTTAAGTAAAGTTGTGTCCCCTTTCGTTAAACACTTAGCTTCACCGACAATATTTTTATTGTGCTAAATTAAGTATAGGCCTACGTTGTCATTTAAGTAAGTCCATTCTTAGTGTTAATAGCGTATAATTGATGTTTTGTATGAAATTACACAGTTTTTGTTTCAACGGACATTTTTACTAATTTACATTATTTAATAACATAATTCGCTCTTTCTGCTCTGTAGATTCTATGTGAGCGTTTTTTCCGGTCTATAGTGAATTCAGTTACATCCACAATATACATTTCCCATATCACGTATATCAAAACCATGGTGCTATATTGGTGAGACAGACCACCTCCAAAAATTTTTGGGATTGCTCTTTGGGATTAAATCCTAGATTTCTAAGAGCAGTAAACAGAATACTTAATATTCTCATCCATTCAGCTGGATTTCTTCGGTAACTTATGATTTATGCTTAATTTTACTGTACTATAAATACTATACTAATTACACCGTATTGTCTTTAGATTTAAATGAAGCAAAATAAATAAGATTTTTAAAATGTCACCTATTATTAGGATCGATTTTCCGGCTTGGGGGTACTGACACATAATTTGCTCAAAACGAACGACTCACTTTGAGTTAGTCACAATTATTTTCAGAAAATGTTCGAGAAAATTTTACTGAATACCGTATTCTGTGATAAAATTTAAAAAAATAATTAATTACCTGCAAATTCTGGAGCTAAATCAAGAACTATTGCAGTATCCCCCGAATTATTAAAGCCGAAACATCCCATTCCAACCATTAAACAAATAATTACATTTGTACTCTCGCATCCTTGAAATGAAATCGCTAAGATGCATGCTGCCGGACCAAACAAAGCTACAATATAAATATTTAATTATATAATGCCAGAAATTTTAGAATTTAATTTAAAACTTACGATATTGCGGTTCCTTACCAATTCCTTCGGAAAATTTTCTAATATTAGTTATACTTAAATAGTCACGAGATTTCATAAAATCAGCAATAAAACCACAAGTAAACATAATTATAGCATCCAGAGAATACACTAATGCACTCATTATTCCATTCTAAAACACAAATAATATACATAAATTTGTTGATATAAGACCAAATTTATATATAGAAATCATAATTTATGTATAGAAATCAACATACCTTTTGGATAGAGAAGTTCTGAATGATATGTAAGTATGATGGAAATTTAGTCAATATTGCATTATAACCGAAACCCCAACAAATTTTCGTCAAAGCTACTATCCACACTGCTCTGGATGTTAAAATTTGTTTCCAGGGTATATTCACCTTCTGTTTTAAGTACACATGTATTTACGAAAGCTTAGTCAATAAAGTAGAATAACAAATGATATTACCGTTTCTCTTGAAGAGATGTTTGGTAAGCTTTCGTTAAGAAATGCCAATTCTTTCTCAGATATTCTGGGATGTTGTTGAGGTCTATCATAAATTGTGAACGTAAGACATAAAGGAACGACAATCCCACATATGCCTGTTGTAAATATATAGATTAGAAATGATACTGTCGCACTTTAGCATTGAAGAAACAATCGTATTATTTATGTTCACCGAAAGAGTAGAAACTGAAAGACCATCCTTTATGTTCACAGAGATATCCTGCTGTCATTAAACCAACAACTGAACCGAGTTGATTACCACAAAAAGAAATTGAGGATAATATTGACTTTTCGTTTTTTGGACTCCATCTTCCTAATAGCGTAAAAGTTCCGTGAGATATAAGTCCCTGCAATAAAATAATGTTCGAATAGGATGCTATAAATGAGGTTTGCAATGACAATAGTAAATTTTATTCTTACTTGTGCTAATCCGACAATGGCTTGACATAACGATATAACTGACACGCCGACATCTGCACAAAAGGGTGTCAAAATGATCAGTATTGAAGATAAACAGGAAAAAATTATGACAGTTTTCTTTGGTCCAAGTGAAAATGTAATGGATCCTCCTGCAAGTTGAGCTAACACCAAACCATAGAAATAACTTCCTAGTATTATTCCTTGAGTGGGTTGTGTCCATACATAAGACCCCTAAATATAAATGTAATAAGTGGTTTATCTAAATATATAAAATTACTTGTTTGACTGACTGACTGGATGACTCACGGATTCATCATCGCCCAGAGCAAACCGCTGAACCTAAAGAGGTGAAATTTGGTACACAGTTAGGGTACGTCATGAAAACGCACACTAAGAACGGATTTTTCGAAATTTCCCCGCGGGGGAAAGGGAGAGCATTAAGGCTTAACCGGAAAAACGGCTTCTACTGCACTATTTTAGATGCAATTTTTTTGTTTTTATCTGCGTTTTAGTAGGGTATGCCATTAGAATGCACACTTTGAACAAATTTTTCGTAATTCCCCGCGGGCGGGAGAGGAAGAAAATTTAGTCTTCATCGAGTACTTAGGTGTATTAAATTAATAACATTTCAGATATTGTTATAAATATTTTTATGTATTTCGATTTTAAAAATGTTCGAACCGTTTTAAATTCGAATTTGTTATTGCATATACGATTGTAAACGTTCCAGAAAATTGTTGTAATTGAAAATAGTCGTTTGATTCTCGAAAATTTTCATTATTCTCAGCGGTAGGTGTTACATAACAATTACTATGGTTATTGAAATATTGAATATAAATAGGGTTTGCATGCAAAATCCTCGCGGGCAAAGCGGCGGATAACAGCTAGTATTTAATATAATTGAAGCTTTACGAATTAAATCACGCAGATTTTTCCAGTTACAGCTAAGGTATTTCTTTCATTTTATCTTTGTTTATTCGAACATTTTTTAATAATAATATTAAAATGATTTGAATTACTAACTGAAATTCAGAAGAAAATGTGTAATTTCGGTGGCTGACTTCATTAATATTTTGTTCAGCTTTTAATCTGCTAAATGTCCAACCTTTAAATCCGTGCTTTTGTAAGCCTTGATAAAAACAAAATGAATTAAAATATGAATTTAAAATGATTATGTGAAATACGAAATTAATTACATTTCCGTTGTATTCATTAATTTATTTAAAGACAATTATTCCGCGATATATAAACACATTTTGTATACAACGTTTGTTATTAGTCACTGATATTTGTTAGTAATTTATGCATATATTCTATATTTAAACATTTACCTCTTTGTAGATATATGTAGAATTTTGTTGATAGGTTTTTGGACATTCTGTTGAAGACGTGGTATTATACTCGTGGATAGCTGAATGATTAACCATGGCTAAAATAGCGATACTCAGTACAGATCTTTGGCAGTACGCTATTGCATGTATAAAAAATGTAGACAATACCAATACATAACGAGCTGGAACAGGAACTGAAGTAAAAACGTTCGTGAGATTTCAACAACTGAAGTTAAAATTTCAATGAATGTTAAGAATATAAATGTTAGATTTTATAATTAATTCAAAGCTTGAAATAATAATTACAACATCTACATATATCTATAAATCTATTAAAGAACCATTTCTCAACTTCAAATATAATATAAAAATTTCATAAAATATCGTAACAGATGGCATTATCAAATGTATCTGGCTGCTGGATTTTTTATGTATTTGTACCAAAGTAGTGACACTAATGGATTACTAAATGTATTTTGTCCTAAAACTTTCATAAAATAAATAAATAACATTATCTGTCATCTTTTAATAATTATTACGTTTGGAGGCAGGCAGACAAATAATGCATCGCATCTGATATGTTACTCTTCTAGCTGCGAAAAAACACCAAATATCAAGGAAAAAAAGATATTTATGAAAAATAATTATTTCAAATTGTTTTTTATTTCAATAATTAATAAAAGTTTTCGGAGTTACGCATATTTATGAATTAATTTTAGAACATTCTTACCTTTATGTATCATATTTATATCGTAAGATAAATAGATTCACTATTTGAAATGGTTAAAAATAAGTTTGAATCTTTATTTGTTTATCCTATGATACTAGGTTTACTTTAAAAAATTGATTCCAGTTAGAGTTTTCTTATTCTTCTTCCTTTTTCCTTTTCTTATGATTCAAAGTAATGTTGAGATCTTTTTATTATTATAACGATGGATTTACATTCTTCTATTGACGACTAATAATGCTTCAAAGTATAAATATTATAAGAATAATTTTCAACATATCACCACGAGTGGAAGAAGTAAAGCAACAGGTATACTGCAATATAAGAAAAATATATTTAACGCGTTTTCTAAAATATTTTTATTATATTTTTAGTAAAAATTTATTCGTACATAACTAAAAGAAATATCAGTTAATAGTCGAGTTTAAAATATAATTAACTGGCAGATAAGCCCGGTTCCTCGAGCAAAAAATAACAACAAACATTGAAATTATCAGATTTTTCGACTTGTAATTCTATTATTGCATTATATTATAGTTTTTGTTTTATATAACTAAGAATATCATTTTGCTTGAAAGTTTAAAACACTAAGTTCCCAATGTCACGCATCTTAAAAATTCTTTAAATTGTGTACAGTAGAGAAATAAAGAATTTTCGAAAATATGTTACATAGGGGTTTATTATACCCGTGAAAAATCTAAATTAACTTCTATAGTTATATAAATCAATTACTATAATATAACAAACATTAAAACGAAAATCATATAAAGAGTTTGGTTATTTCATCCTACCATTGTCATGTTTATCGCCATAGTTGGATGGTACAAAATGTCAAGATTTCATTTGTGAAATTGACACCAATTAAAAATGTGGTATCTTAAGTTTTTTAACGTATGATATATATATATATTTTTAATGTCAACTCTAAGAATCGGTAACATACACAGCTGCGTATCAAACAGTAATCTGCCAGTCAATCAAATTTCTCAAAAAGCCGGACTAAATATTTAAACTCGGCAAACTCGAAAACCAATTAAAACATATTGTATGCTGGCCAGTAATTTTGTATTATGTAATTGTCGAATTCGAATGGAACCATAACGCTGGTCCTATAAAAAGAAGGGATGTTACAAAAGGGGGTTGAGTAATTCGAGCAAAAGTAGTCGTTCACATTCTCCTGGAAGAGAGGATGGTCAACGACCACCAATTAAGACTGGTCTACTCTTAATATTTGAAAAGTAATCCGTGTTAGACAGGTTGTAATGGCCTGTATGTCACCGAGTTGCTAACCTTATTGTCTAAAAGTCTTTATACGACTTGTTTAAATTAGGACTGTGGAATCGTGTAAAAATCTACCAACTTGAACTCTGATCAGAGGCAGACTTGTTACCAAAAATCAGTAAATTCACGTAGAACTTTTGTTCGAATTTTTAATTTAAACGAAATAAATTTTAAAATATTCATCGATAAATATTGCAAATACATTATTGTTTGTATTCTGTTAATTACATTTAATGACGAAGATTCTTTCTTTAATGGCTTGAATGCACGCCAGTATATTATTAATCAAACCCGGAATAACATCACAATCTTATTGCATCATAATTTCGTATATCATTCTCAGTGTTTAAGTCTGTTCTTTTACTATATTGGCTGTTATGTACAAATTACAAGGGAAAGTATGGGAATCGTGTCAAATTTGACTCTCCGAGTTCTTTGCAAATCTTTACGTCATGAGTTTCCGAATCCAAAATCGTCAAAATATATAAATTTGGTTGTGTGTTGGCATCTACGTCGTTAAATATCTAGGGTGGGGTAACGATTAAAAAAAGGAAATTTGGCAAGGTAAATCGTGTATAAGGGACATTAATGCTATGAAATTTTGGTAGTAATAGATGAAGAATGGTGAGTAGAAGGTCATCGTGTGTCATATTCTCGAGAAGACTAAGATTTCATTTAGATTTTACTCTCTATTAGTATTTACAATTTTTTTTTTAAATATAAAACTCAACAATAACCTCAAAATTAAGTTGTTAGCCATTTTACAATTATCAATAATATATACATTTCTGCTAACAAAATCTGATAACAGATAAAGCCACACACAATTTTTCATTTTGATTAATTTTTTGATACGATTTCATAACATATAATTCAGTTACAAAAACTCTTCTGCGACATTCACGTTTATATAAAAGTTTCTGAAATTCGAAAGTTTTTCTGTTTTCTGTGATATTTCAGTTTTATGTAAAAGTTATCTGACTTAGCCCTAAGAAAACCCATCAGCTGATCCGATGTTGCTGCACATGAAGATTGATTTTGCAGGTGTTGAGTCACAGGTGGATCGTCGATAATGTAAAACTGTCATTATATATCGCTGCTATGACTATATTTCGTCGAGACTTGTGCGATTCATTCTATTTACTTGTCCAACGGTTGACTTTCTGTTCCTTTAACAATAGGTTGTTTAATTTAGCACTTGATTGTTATAATTCTCGAACATTTGTTGCTAGTAAAAGTGATATTCAATCGGTTTTCTTATCATGACAGCAAAAATAGGATTTAGAATTTCCTTAAATTAGTGCAAAATCAAGCTTACGATCCTCACAACTGTATTTGTGCGGCAAATAACTTTCTGTTCGATATTACCGACAATTTTCCATTTATCCTGCACTGTTTTAAAGTTAGAAAAATTTGAAAATAAAAATAAAAATATGTTTTATTAATTTTTGATGAAGATAGGCAGTGACGGCACGAGGCAAGTTTTATGATGGAGAGAGATCCTATTATGGCGCTCCCTTGGTTGTTTCTAATTTATACCCTTTAATTTTCTTTACCACTGAGGCGCCAATTGGGATTTAGCGCCTGAAGCTGCTGCTCCGTTCGCCCTATGGTAGGGCCGGCTCCCCCCAGGTAAGGAGCTGAGCCTGGACGTGGCGGGGAGGCCAGGCGGTGAGAGACGACGGGTAATGGGGTCCCGAAAGTATCGTCTTGTTCTCGATCGTTAGTGGAGTCTTATGACTCGAGCCAAAGGTTCCAGAGGTGTCAGAACATCATGGGCTTTGGGTCTGTACACCAAGCCTTTATATGCTTGCTGTCCGATTGTCGTCTACGGAGGGGACGACTCTGGCGGGGTTTCAAATATCTCCCAAAACTGGAACCTAACCCCGTTGGAGCGGACGGCTATAAGAGCTGCTAATTGGCATTGTGGCATGCAGACTCACACTTAAACAGAAGGGAGACTGGTGCGGTCAAGGCACGGGGCTGTTCCTAATAGTATCGGCAATAGGAGGGCCAAAATGAGCCCTCAGTAAGTCCGGAGCTGGGGAATAGTCGCTGTAGCCGTAGCTAATATAGCTCCTAAGGAGGACTTGTCTTTGGACGAGATATGCGGAGTGTAGTTGTTTGGGCTTGTCCGATGGAAGTTGGCGACTCTGCCGATGAAAGTTGGTAGCCCTGCCGACGGAAGCGTAGGCACCCGTTGGCCTGCGGTGGGATGGCATTCGATAGGGGCGCTGCTGAAACGTGGTAGGGATCCTTCGCTTCGGCGAACGGTCCCGAGTCCCCCTACTGGCGACGGTTAAATCGTCTGCTTGTAGCGAGATGCACATTGTACCCTGGGCTGATGGGTTATATCCCTGATAATACACATTGGAGCACGCAGGGAACGCCGAAATTTCTGGATTCAAATCCCGCGTCGGTACAGTGACCAGAGGCCATGGATTTGACAATCCGTACCCTCTGGAACCTGAGACACACAAAGCGAACTCCTGCATCCACCCGGTGGCACGGGGCCGATGTTTCACGATAAAGACAATTGAATGCAGTCGACTTAATCTTAGCCCGTGGTAACGCAGACCACGTAAAACTCTTTCTGTCCGGTAAAAGAAGAACCAGCATCCCAAGAGGAAGACCGGATTTTGCACACCCGGTGCTGGCTTGGGGGCCACGGCCTGCATGCCGAAGCCAGTGGGGCAAGGAGTTGTACTCCCGTAGCCGAAGCCTCGCTGGTGGCCAGGGGGTAGCGCCTACAGTGGATTGTAGGACCCTGCTAGCTGGTATTTATCCTGACGGGCAGTTGGCAGAGCCACTCCTCGGACATAGGGCCAACTTCCTTATGTCCTTGGGAGGAGTGGTGCTTAAAGGCCTGACGTTGCGTTGGATGGCCGTATATGATCTCGGAGGACTAGAAATGGGAAGAGCGTCTCCTAGTAGGGATGATGGGGCGGCCCAAGCCGAGCAACCAGCTGGGCTGGGGTAACCTAGGGTAGGATGCCATTTAAATGGGTAGCTGTCCCGGCAGCGGGCTAAGCAGTGACGACCCGGCAGTAAGAGGGCCAAAATGAGCCCTCAGTAAGCTCAAAGTCAGAGCTGGCTCTTAAAC